GCTTTTATGAAATCGCTCAGTTTGACAAAAGAGGGACCTAGCTTATAGATTCTTTGCACCATAAACAGTACATTGAAATCTATTAATTATATCAACATATCCACTGCAGCTAACTCTGTATAGTGGATGTGTTACCAAGAGAATATGGATGCAGACCCCAGAGCAGTTTGACAAAAAACAACAACATGCCAGCTAACAGATTCAGCCCCCACTGCTGCTGACTTTAGATACTATTTCACATTTTCAATATAAATTTCGTCAAACCTGGATAATGAGAGACTGACGGGAGATCATAACTCGACAACGTACACATAGCTTTAGTTGTTATACTGTTTAATGCACATTTGAAAGAACATTAATGTTCTAAAAAGAAATATTTATAACACTAGAGTGTTCCTGTGTATATCTACAGTTACTAGGATCCAACTTTTGAAATGTAAGCTCCTCTTTAAAGGGATTCTATATTGTAAGGAATACAAAGTTGTAACATCATCTGATGAGGGGGCGCGTTAGGCTCTCCCCATAGGAAAGCATTGCTTCACAGCTTTTCTTTAGGGATTTTACGGACGCTGGATGTCGCAGAGCAGGATGCCCAGCGTCAGATAAGTGACCAAAAGTCGTTTAGCCACCAAGTGCATCTAGTGGCTGTCATCGCAGGACTAAGTGGGACTGGAACACTGCACCCAGACCACTTCAATGTGATGAAGTGGTCTGGGTGACTATAGTGTCCATTTAATATAGAGCGTTTCCTGTGTAGATGCGACAGCTCTTCTGCCCACTCTAAGGTCATTGAGATAAATGCTTATTCCCAATCCAACCCTTCTTATAAAGATGTATTAAGGCCCAGTGGTGCAAGAGCGGCCATAGCTATGCTCTGTCAATTGTATACTTTTCATAGAAAAGCACTGAATCCAAATGCCTCTCAATGAGAAGCATTTGCAGTGTTATGCAATGTCGAATACGGAGACTTTCAACAAGTGTTCCTTATAAAGTTCTAGATATAATCCACAACAACCCCAGTAATCTTGTTCTAGATATAATCCCATAACACAAGTAAACTACAGTACAAATCCTAGAACAATTAAAAATCTGTTTATTTCAATAAAGAGCAGATCATTACCTCACAGAAGAACTCATTGCCTCTCAACCCGCAGAACCAACTTATCCACGAAACCTCCTCGGAGCTACTCATTTTCCAGCCTGCGGATAAGCAAACGAATGACACATGAGTGAACTGGTGGAAAGAAGGCAAGGGAGAGACCAGGGTACAGAACAGAGGAGTGAAGGGACTTGTGATGGAGAGAAGGAATGAGGCTGTAGGGACTCGACATGGCATAGCATGAATGAGGAAGGGCAAGGATCAAAGGGTACAAAATGAGGACAAGTGGCAGACCAGAAGCTTGATGTGAGATAAGGACTATGACAGAGCAGAAGGTGTGCAAGCGATATGATTAAGAATATTATGATGATTGATTACAAGGAAGGGAGTCCAAAAGCTGAATTGAGACTGTGTGACACCGTTGGATGATGAATATGGAAAGGGGATCATTGGAAGGATGAGCGGTCAGGAAAAATCATAGGATAAAAGGTGGGGGTGGGAGAATGGAGAGGGAGCAGGAGGGGGAGTGACAGTACGAGGAAAAGCAGAAGGAGTGTCAAAAAGTGGGACGGGAGACTATAAGCCAGCCAGAGATTAGATGCCATCTAGGGATAGGTTGATCGCTAAGGACCCTTCAAGGAAGGAGTGATAGGTGCCGCCAGGCGGGGATTGGGGTGATAGCTATATTTGGGGGTGATAACCAGGAGCCAGGCGGGGATTGGTGTAATAGCGGGATTGGGGTAATAGCTATATTTGGGAGTAATAACCAGGAGCCAGCAGGGGATTGGGGTAATAGCTATATTTGGGGTGATAACCAGGAGCAAGGCGGGGATTGGGGTAATAGCTATATTTGGCGTGATAGCTATATTTGGGGTGATAAAGGAGTTTAAGCATAGGCATAAGGCTATCCTAACTATAAGATAAGGCCAGGGACTAATGAAAGTATTTAGAAAATTGGCAGACTAGATGGGCCTAATGGTTCTTATCTGCCGTCACATTCTATAACCAGGAACCAGGCGGGGATTGGGGTGATAGTTGTATTTGGGGGTGATGGCCAGGGGCCAGGCAGGGATTGGGGTGATAGTTGTATTTGGGGGTGATAACCAGGAGCCAGGCGGGGATTGGGGTGATAGTTGCATTTGGGGGTGATGGCCAGGGGCCAGGCGGAGATTGGGGTGATGGTTGTATTTGGGGGGTGGTGATGGCTGTATTTGGGGGTGGGGTGATGGCCAGGGGCCAGGCGGGATTGGGGTGATAGCTGTATTTGGGGGTGATGGCCAGGCGGGATTGGAGTGATAGTTGTATTTGGGGGTGATGGCCAAGGGCCAGGCGGGGATTGGGGTGATAGCTGTATTTGGGGGTGATGGCCAGGCGGGGATTGGGGGATAGCTGTATTTGGGGGTGATGGCCAGGCGGGGATTGGGGTGATAGCTGTATTTAGGGGGTGATGGCCAGGGGCCAGGCGGGATTGGGGTGATAGCTGTATTTGGGGGTGATGGCCAGGCGGGCGGGGTTGTTACAGAGCAGCCACACGGGGGGGGGGGGTCAGGGAGCAGCACACACAGTACGGTAACACGGTAATACGGCTAATAAGTCGCAGACCTGTCCTTTCCTGCCGATCGCTCAGTCTATGGCGGTTCTACCCGGTCCACAACCGCCGCCGCCACACACTAGGCCGGGTCCCTCTCAGTGCGCGTGCGCAGCCTGGCCGGAAGGGGCGGGGCCGGAGCTGACGCTCGGTTACAGTGCATGATGGGAGACGTAGTCCTGCGGAATCCTCTGCGGCCTTGCGGGGAACAAAATAAATGACGTCACTACGCAAAGATGGCTGCCCTTTGGCTGGCTGGCTGAGTGTTATGAGAGGAGTAATCTCTGCTGTATCAGCAAAGCCTGGCCTTTATTATAGATTAATAATGCTCCCCTCCCAGTGCCCCCAATACTGAGACCCTCAGTGAGTGTGATACAGTGAGTGTAATACAGTGAGTGTAATACAGTGAGTGTAATACAGTGAATGGCTCACACTGTGGGGTAAACTTGTTCCTCCAGTTTGTCCCTTTTTGATCCCCATTTTGCCTTCAGCTTTGAGCTGACCCCAGATCTGTGGGATGATAAAACCATGGTGGGAAAAGCCAAGTGAAATGCCTCCGCCATGCCCATGCAGTGAGACCCACCAGCACGCCGGGTTCTAAACGGCCGGTTAAAATAAATCCAGATTTGTGGAAGTTATAGCAAATACAGCATTTTCCTAAAATGTCTTTTGAAACCCCATGTGACGGGTTACACAGCCGTGTATGTGGGGGGATCTTGTTCGTTTCACTGTAACGGCAATATGTCCGGACCTTGGGATGCGGTGTTATTAAATCATAACAAATACAAACAAGTCTTGGGACTTGGGGAAAAAATTCGGCCCGGGCATTTTTCAATCAGAGCGGCCCCCCTGAGAAGGAGGCGAGACCAGAGAGGGTGTGTTTGTCATCACTAATGACAAGCACACCCCCTCTCAAAGTCAGCATGTTGGTTCAATGCGTAGAGCCCCGCTGAAGAGCTCTGGCATTAGAAAAAGGCCCTGTATTTGTTCTGCGCAGCGCAAGCAAACTTAATAACATGCTTGCACTGTGTTTGCTTTTATATTGTCTCTGGCGTCTCCATAAGTGGAATATCAGAGGGCAAAAAGGTCAGGAAAGCGTATGGTGTGTGTGTTTGTAGGCTGCTTGTCGGATTGCGTGCATGTAGAGCGAGCTGATTGAGTGTGCTGTATGTGTGTGTGTGTGAGGGTGCTGTGTGTGTCTGAGGGTGCTGTGTGGGTGTGGTTTGTTCGTGAAGGTGCTGTGTGTGTGTGGGTGCTGTTAGTGTAAGTGTGCTGTGTGTGTTTGTGAGGGTACTGTTAGTGTGAGGGTGCTGTTAGTGTGAATGTGCTGTGTGTGTGTGAATATGTTTATTTAAATATGTATATATATATTTTTTTTTTATTTAAATCCCCCTCCCTTCTTACATTTAGCCTGTGGGCGGTGAGGGAGATCTTTGATCTCTCCACCAGCCCATGAAGGCACACAGCAGGGCCGGTGCTCGGATAGCGCCGGCTTTGCATGGGCTGACAGGGGAGATCCTGTGATCTCCCCTGCCGGCCTCGGCCCATGGCCATCGCGGCCCACCGTGCATTTGCCCGGTATGCCCGATGGCCAGTCCGGGCCTGTACACTATTCATAGTGAATTTCACATTGAAGGTCAAAATCGACCCCCTGACAGCAAAGCGGACTCGGAGAGCTTTTCCACTTCACCTATTTTGTCCTTAAATTTGAAATTTACTGTGAATTCCCTGCATTCCTCACGTTAGTAAATAACCCTGCTAGTGTTTAGAGTACCTGTCTTCATGATGCTTCATGGAGCACGTGTCTTCTATCACTGTCAGACATACTTTTTTTGCAATCATATGAGTTGAACAAAAATAAAATAAAATAAAAAATTAAATGATTTTAAAAGTCTATTCAAAAACACGAAAAAATTTGAAAAGTTTAATCAAAAATATTAAAAGCGAGGCATAATTGTTTTATTAAACATCACAAAATAAGTAGTGTCATTGCTAACATTAGCATTGGGGTAAAAACAGAGACATGTGCAACTAAATAAATAAACCCCAGCCCTTTTTACCCCAAATAATAGTCAAAGGATAGTGTAATAGCAATATCAGGGTCTCTCTGTGTAGCTTATAGCTAGCCAATTACTCGGGATTACTCATATCTTAAAGCAGGGCTTTAGTAGGTCGCCCTCCATCCGGCACGCAAGGAGTTAATGAGAAGGACGCGCTCTGCTGCCCCTAGCGGTGACTGTGCGCTCTGCCGCCTATTCTCAGACAGCGGCTGAAAGCAGGCTTTCCCGTGTGCAGTGACGTCAAGCGCGCGACGACCAATCAGCGATAAGAGCTGGTCGCAACTTTCGCAGTCGCCGATTGGCACGCACATGTTCTTGGCCCCGCCTTCACACGTATAAAAGCTGTGGGACACGCCCCCCCGGTGGAGTCCAGCGCCATTTTGCGGTTGGAAAAGAGTGTGTGCTGCTCTGGTTGGGTGTGAGACTCAGCCCACCGTTCCTGGTAATTCTGAAATTATTCTCTGTAACAGGAAATAACTAGCATGTGCTCTGACTGGGGCTTCTTACTAGCTGGGAGCTAGAGACACAGACAGGGATTATATATGGCTTGCTGTTACTATATTACATGTATTATATGGTTACTGTGTGATATATTACATGTATTATATGGTTACTGTGTGATATATTACATGTATTATATGGTTACTGTGTAATATTACATGTATTATATGGTTACTGTGTGATATATTACATGTATTATATGGTTACTGTGTGATATATTACATGTATTATATGGTTACTGGGTAATATATTACATGTATTATATGGTTACTGTGTGATATATTACATGTATTATATGGTTACTGTGTGATATATTACATGTATTATATGGTTACTGTGTGATATATTACATGTATTATATGGTTACTGTGTGATATATTACATGTATTATATGGTTACTGGGTAATATATTACATGTATTATATGGTTACTGTGTGATATATTACATGTATTATATGGTTACTGGGTAATATATTACATGTATTATATGGTTACTGTGTAATATATTACATGTATTATATGGTTACTGTGTGATATATTACATGTATTATATGGTTACTGTGTGATATATTACATGTATTATATGGTTACTGGGTAATATATTACATGTATTATATGGTTACTGTGTGATATATATTTCATGTATTATATGGTTACTGGTAATATATTACATGTATTATACGGTTACTGGTAATATATTACATGTATTATATGGTTACTGTGTGATATATTACATGTATTATATGGTTACTGTGTGATATATTACATGTATTATATGGTTACTGGGTAATATATTACATGTATTATATGGTTACTGGGTAATATATTACATGTATTATATGGTTGGTTACTGTTAATATATTACATGTATTATATGGTTACTGTGTGATATATTACATGTATTATATGGTTACTGGGTAATATATTACATGTATTATACGGTTACTGTTAATATATTACATGTATTATATGGTTACTGTGTGATATATGACATGTATTATATGGTTACTGTGTAATATATTACATGTATTATATGTTACTGTGTAATATATTACATGGTTACTGTGTGATATATTATATGGTTACTGTTAATATATTACATGTATTATATGGTTACTGTGTGATATATTACATGTATTGTATGGTTACTGTGTGATATATTACATGTATTATATGGGTACTGTGTAATATAAACATGTATTATATGGTTACTGTGTAATATATTACATGTATTCTATGATTACTGTTTAATATATCACATGTATTATATGGTTGCCCTGTTATTTATTATATCTCTTACTGTGAATATATCACATTAATTGCCCATTGACTATATCACAATTGTTATATTGCTTACCGTTAATATATTACATGTATTATATGGCTTACTGCAAAGTAAATAAAGGAACTGATTAGAAGGTTAAAAAAATCAATATTAAATATTTATACAAATAAATATCAAACGGGCTGCATCGCATAAAATTGAGCGACTTTAAGAACCTATATGAAGAATTAATATGAAAATATGTGCGCTCCAAAAAATAAAAAAATTAATATAAGAACCGGGTCTTATTTTTGGGCAAAGAAGGTAATATTGATTGTGGAGGAACCGGAGAGCACAGGAAGGGTTTATCAGGTGGTGAGTGAGGGGAGTTAGGGAGACACATAGTTACAGAGGGATATTATACGATATAGTGAGACATTTTATGGTGGTAAGGAGGATTTGGGCAGCAACTTTTGAAAAATTTGGAATAGATTAATTTTTATTTTTTTAAACTTAGAAAAATGCAATTGTAAAACCTATTAAATTTTATTTTGTACATATTATTTGTATAAGCAGCAGGAGACTGGGATAAAATATCCGATTGACAGGAGGAGAAGGCAGATGTGAAGGAGGATACAGAGGACATCTAGGTTTTGGGGGGGGGAGGGGGAATGGTATTGAAGCAGTAAATGTGGAAGAAGTGAGACAGATTGGCAATACAAAGGAGTGTGCTTCAACTCATTACTAAGATAGTTGTAGGGAATACACATTCCAAATGCATTTCAACTATGTGTTTTGAGAGGCAAAGTATGTTTTATTTACCAGACTTAGGGTTGTTTCCTTGTAAGGCAAAAAGTCAGGAGAAGGAAAAATGACGGTAGTAGAATGGAGCAGGATCGAGTGGAAGAGGATGGGGTAGGGAGGCAAACATAAACGAGGGGAAGTGTCCGTGGTCCTGAGGTTTCTACACATGGTTTAAGCGGATTAGATAAATAAAGATTTAAACATTAATCTGATACAGTCACAAGCTGACAGCTGATGTAAAAATAGAATTTATTTTCTTTATATATATAGATAGATAGATGGATATATGAGCACATATATTTAAACCAACAGTCTTTCCACTCACACGGCTGCAGAAAGTAACACATTAATGGTTGTTGTAAAGTAGGTCAGTATTAGGTAGAATGTAATATTACAAAACCAAGACAGGAAGCGGAATATTGTTTTATAAATTCTATATAATTCATAGGAGTCTGAGAATAAAATCCAATTTTGTTCGTACATTGTTTGTTTTGTTTTCAGAAGTGCCATATGATATAGTGTAATTATAGAGCAAAGTTCTAAAAGTGGACTAACTTCCCCAATAGTTACTTTGGTACTTGTTTTGAATACGCTGGCCTTTGTCTGTGTCTCCAAACTGAGCATTGAGAGATTTTATTATTTAACAATTTCTGTCTGGATATCACCTGAAGAGCTGTCTCCTTAATTTTACTATAATGATATTTTTTAGTTGGAGTCACTTTGTAGCTGTTTTGAGCCCTAAGGGAAACTTATTGGGCTCTGGTGAATTCCCGCTCTCGTGACATATATTTACATGTATATACTATTGTCTGTCACATTGCACTTCTATATATTTTTGAAAACCACATGAAAAATTCTACCCCTCCTCCTTTTTTATTTCCCCCTTATCTATATAGTTTTTTTTAATGGTGTTTCTTTGTGGGGGGTTTTTAGACTTACGTTTTGCAATAAAGTGTAATATATTTATCTGTTTTCCACTATACTTGGGGACCTCTCTTTGTCTTAGATGCCTTGGCATCCTCACTTTGGGGGGGTGGAGAGGGGGGGGCAGGAGTTGTACAATTTAGTGATCTTACTTTTGAGATATACAGGTATATAAAACATTGTATGTTTCTTTTTTTCTCCCTCATTAGGTTTTTGTTTACTTGTTTCATTTGAAATAAGAAATATGAACCATCCTCGACTTATCACGTTTACAAGGGCCCGGGAGAGATCAGACTTTTGGGAAAATGGTGAACACAGTAGGAAGAAATCATTCGGAGTATTGGAGTGTAGCACTTCCGGGGCGGAGGCAAGAAACTTCTATGAAAGTCTTATTTCTTCTGAAGGTAAAACATCAACTTCTAGAAGACTTATTCGGAAACGCAAAATAGCCATACCTTCGTCACATCGAGAGTCTCTTGTTACTAGTTCTCAAGATGGACCTACCAGAACTGTACCAACAGAAAGAGCTATCAGTGTTGGCCATCAACTTCTTAAATGTTCTCAAGAAGGGGACCTTAAAGGGGTTCAGAAGTTAGTGGAAAAAGAGAAATGTGACATCAATTTTTCAGACAATTTCTTTTGGACTGCGTTAATGTGTGCTGCATATGGAGGACGAAAGGATGTAGTGAACTATTTGTTGAAGAGTGGAGCAGCCTGGGTTGGAGTGTGTGATACCCAGGGTAAGGATGCTTTGATCTTGGCAGAAGAATCGGGGCACAGTGACATTGTTCAGCTTCTGCAAGATTCTCTAAGTGGTCTTTACCAGGAGACTGCACCAAGGTTGGTATTTGTTATGGAATGTATTTATGAGAGTGATTAAATTGCAGTCCTAGCAAGATTACCTTTGAGAAGATTTGCTTATTGGAATACTTAAGAGCCAGCAGGATGAGAGAAAGAATGTCCAGGTAGCAGTAAAGAGAGAGATACGTAGAAAAAATAGAACAATATTGGGGTATCTTAGTTAAAGTGAACCTGTCACTGCAGGTATTGCAGTTTTTTAACCATCTGACTTGACTCATGTTATATAAGTAAAAGGAAGCTATAGGCACCAGACCTCTTCATCTTATTAAAGTGGCCTGGGTGCACTGTCCCTGTCTCCATAACCCTGCAGTCTAAAGCATTGCAGTTTCAGAGAACAGTTAAGACTGCCTCTAGTGGTTGTCTACCAAACAGCCACTAGAGGCGCTTCCTACTGTATCACAGAGTTTATACATGAGGGCATCCAGCATCTTAAAATCTCCCATAGTAAAGCACTAATTCAGTGCTTTCCTATGGGGAAGGTATAATACTCACGTGGCATTTGTCGCACATGCGGATTAGGTTCCCCCTTGGGGCTAACGTCTGATATCACTTCCTCTAAGTGCTGAAATGCATAAAATGAGGATTGTCTCTCACAACTTACAAACAAAGGTTTGCAATAGCCGATATCTGAAGTCCCACTGGGACTCATGAAAGGCCAGAGCCTGTTTGACTCTAGCAGCCATGAGTGCCGTGCATGGCACACATGCCATAGATTGCTGACCCCTGCTATGTATAGTGTTGGGAAAATGACTTTGTATTCCTAAAACTATAGTGTTACTTTAAGTTTTTTCTTCCATTTATACTAATAAAGGCATATAATTTAATTTATTTTCATTACCCTTGTCTCCTGTTGAAAGTATCAATCATGTTTTCAGTGATTGTTACACTTGCTGTTAGACACACCTCTCCTGCATACCCCTGTTTGGAAAGCACAGATTTGCTAAGAGTTTATAAGTCCCAATATTTTATATTAGCTTTGTGGTATGTAAATAAAACGTATTTGTTCTCTCTCTCTGTCCATTCTCAGATTACTTATTCAAAGCTTCTCCAATAAATTGTTCATTCTTTCTTCCTGTGCTGCTGATGCTGCTCTCACACAGAGCCTGTCCCTCCTTCCTTCTCCTTGTATTCCTTGCTTTCTAATAGACTGAATTCAAGGCAGGAGAGATGCCAAGAGGAGGCTTTTCCTTTTAACAGATTAGCAGAGCACTTCTTAAGAGCTTTCTTATCTCTGTGCTGATTGGAACAGACTAATCTGAATGACAGGAGAGGAAAAGGTTGTGTTTTAACCTCCAATTTCTGTGAAATCTAGACATTTGCTAGCACAATGTATAGATGAAATTTGAGATTAAATTGTATTTGTCATGACAGGTGCCCTTTGTCAAAGGAACAGATGGGGAAATTACAGTAAATTTAAAGGGACCCTTTAAGTACAAAAAGCTAGGGCAGCTAGTTGTTTTGTTGCTAGGCGTCTTTTAAACAGGATTAATGTCATGTGACAAAAACCAAGGCTGTCCCTGGTCCAAGTAGGTATTCATCCACTTTGATAATGTACAAATTACACGGTTCTGTTATCAGTGTGATTTCATCCAATCTTAAATATGTCACAGACTGATGTGCTGTAGGCCTATCATTGCCATTAAAGGTTGGACTGCGTAATTTCAGCATTATCCATGTGACTGCAAAGTGACCTTGATATGGGCCCTATAAGAGCCCATGTTTTTGTCATACTACTCTTTTTTTTTGGACACACTCCTCTGTTCCTGTGTGTCCAACTCGTCTGGTTACAAATACTTGTCTGTTAGTCCACCAATAAAACAGCGCTATGGATGGCGCTTTATGAATAAAAATAATAATAAAAGTTTGACACAAAGTTTGGCATGAAACTCTTAGGTCTATAGATAATATGGTTTTGCGGTCACGGTTTGGATTCCATGTCTGCTACTTTTTTCTGTCCGGTTCCCCTATGTTCTCTTCCTGTATGCGGAAATAGTAGTTGCCTTAAATTGGGAGCATGTGTTTATCTAACTAAATATCACACTGCTGTGCACAGCAGCATGTTAAGGGAACACTCCAAGCACCCTAACCACTACAGTGCGCTGTTCTGGTTAAAGTGCCCGGATTGCCATGATGACCTCTATTGTAAATCGTCATTCTGCTTTAGAATGGTTTGACTTCTTACCTGGGATCTGCAGGGCGCTGTTTCCTGCATCTCCTCAGCCGTAAGATCTCCGCTCAGAGCTAGGACTGAGAGTGCATCACTTATATCCTTGTCTGAGATAAGCTGACACTGAGCGATAAGCTGACACTTAGCCAGTCCTGCAATGCAGAGTTTAGCTCCAGAGAGCTAATGGAAGCTATAAGCAGGAACTTTCAGCTCTCCTGTTTGCTGATATGAATCAGGGGGCAACATCCGGCAGGCCTCATGTAAGAAGCCTTCTAAAACAGTTTGACTACTAACATTGAGGGGGCATCGGGGCTCTCCTACAGAGCATTGTTGATGCCATCAAAATATGAGTACAATACAGGGAAAAGCAGTGCGATCTTCATTAAGGTAAACACCACCTATGATCACTGGAAAGGAAGCATCAGTGGGAGACCTTTAAGAACACTTTAAAAAAGTTACATTTTCAAAGTTTAATGGATTCATTAACCCCTTAAGGAATGACAGCGTAATTTAGTCAAAGAAAAAGAAAACCACCTTCACGGATAATTTATATCTGAATGGAATGCTGTAGTCATTTATTAGTCGTAGAGCTGTAAGCCCTGAATAAGAAGGATATTCGATAGTGCCATAGAGTCTTAAAAAACTAGATTGTGAAGGAATAGTTTGTTTTTTTAATGTAGTGCAACATGAAAAAACATTGAAATTATCTAGTGCATTTTATTGTTAATTGCTCCCTTTTATAAATCTCCTCCTTAGTGTCTTTAATAGGAAATGGTCAGAAAAAAATGAGACGGATGTTGGAGAAACAGAATATAGTTCAAGAAAAAAATATGTTGAATGAAATGTAATAAGTAATCTTCTGTAAACCGAAGAGTCGTCTAGGGAATATTTTAAATATTTAATTTTTTTTTTTTTCTTTCTTCAGGAGAAGAAGTATGGAGAAAAAATATTGTGAATTGTGTAAGACCCATTACCAGGAAGACACTATCGAAACTCACGAACGTTCCACCGTCCATCTCTTTAACAAGAGGAAGAAACTGCCTCCTACTTACTACGCTATCCCAGAAAATAACGTAGGATTTAAAATGATGCTGAAAGAAGGCTGGAATCGAGAGTCAGGGCTGGGGCCGAGTGGTACAGGGAGGAAATTTCCTGTTCAGACTGTTCTCAAGAGAGATCAAAAAGGACTTGGCTTTCAAACAAACCAGAAAGCCAAAGTCACCCACTTCCCAGCCAATGACACCCTGGCAGTCTCTCGGCCAGAGACTAAGCCTAGTAGGATAGAACGGGTGTCCACAGTCAGCAAGAAAGAGGAAAGAAAGAAGGAAGAAAGAGAGAAAACTTGGGAGCGGAATCTGAGGACTTATATGAACATAGACCTCTAGTTTTACTGAACAGAGCCCTACAAGGCACCTCTCCAGCTTGTGTTATTTTCTGCCCCAATAAATAGACTGATTAAATGTTGGTTGTCTTTTAATAGGTCATGTACTCTGTGCTACAAATATATTTCTACAGAATGAGACAAGTCTACCAGCGCGAACTGATGCGATGCCAGACGTTTTAAGAACTTGATATTTAAATCATTATGCCTTAAATGTTTCAAAGCTGCTAAAGGCCTTCTTGAAGATGGGATCTTCAGACCACCTTTCTCTGACCAGGTTTAATCGCCTTGTAACTAGAATAATAAAATGACGATTGGAAGACTTTGTCATTTTGTCCAGACGTCATGACCGTGGTTATCTTAAGGGCCAGCTGTCACTTCTTTGGAATTTACACCATTAAATAAAACACTAGAAATCACATATAGCTTGTGTTAACATTGTTTTCATGTAATGCTCCATTTTCTTCCAAATTTATATTTAGCAAAGGACATCATAATCCAATTCAGGCAAGGCAAAGCCAGGGCAAACAGTGGAAACAATAATAAGAAATACATACATGGTTTAATTTCTCCTCTTCACTGTGTGCTTTCTCTATGCTTACTGTCAGGTTTCCAAATTGGGCAGATTATACAACATTGATTGACAGGGAGCTAAGATGGAGGTGCCCATTTGCAGGATAAAGAATTGCAGATGTTTTCATTTAATTATATTTTTAACACCTCACAAGTTTGTTAAATAGAGGGGATGAGTAAACATATTACAAATCTTGGGCGGGATAGTTCTACTTTAAGTATCTTGTTTATCGAGTGATTTTTGGTTTCCTTGACGTGCTGTCTCGGACCCTACAAGCCTGCTGTGTATTGTGGGTAAGCTAAGTGTGCCTTTCAGAGCGTGTACTCAATCCACCGCAATGGCAATTGTTTGATGGTCAGCTACCTGGCTTAACCACATTTTCTGTGACGTCTGAAGCGCAGAGAGCCATTAGACAGGAGACCGGAAGGATGGGGGGGGTGAAATGGGCGTCTTTAGAGATCAGTAAAAATGAACTCTAGATTATATATCATTCTATCTTCACCTCACCATCTGAAAAGAATGGAGCTTTGTCTACACTTTCTCTGCAAATGTATTGTCCTCGCTTCGTTTAATAGAATACTACAAACTGGTAAGAAAGAGCTGATAATGTTACTGTCGTAACTTTCTAGATTAACCAAAATATCTGAAAAATGTCATGAATAAATGTAATTTAAATTCTGAATATAGGCATCTAGTTTGTTTGTACCCATGTTGAACGTGATCCTGGGTGGGATCTTTTATAAAAGTGAAATGATCAGAAATAGTGCAAAGTTTGGAAAGTGTAGGAATTACACAGGATTCTATTATGATACATGTTTAGTATAAAGTTTATGATCCCCACGACACCTAGTTTATTTCAAGGCTCACACACACTCCCTACTCGTTCCTTTTCTCATATGCTTATGCTTCCTCGTGGCATCAAATTGAGGATATTCGTTGATTTGTAGTGACCGTTGACAGTCAATGTACCAGAATTTAATAACCAGTGAGACTACTGTAAGATTTTCCTTTACAATCATGGAAAGGTTCTGAAAATCTGTTAATAATGAGAACTTACGTGTAGAATAAATGCTATGGTACTTGTATTAAACTGGTATAAATAATTTTGCTAATTTAATTTAATCATTTTTCTATTTCTGCAGTTTAAATTTCACTTTTTTTGTTACTTGTGTTTTTTTTTTTATATTTTGTAATTGGAATTTTAAAATACATAACATATAGAGAAGTACTATAACAGAGGGAAAAATATTATAACCCTTGGAGTGCTACTCTAATTAGAGTGTTAGAGTACTGAACTCCAGAGACATTAAGTGTTTTTTTTTTTAAATTCATTATTTATTGATTTTGATATTTATATTTGACAGTTTAGTCAGGAAATCAGTAAAAGTAATATTTTGACAATGATAATTAACAGGGAGCGTTGGTTGGCAGATCCTTAAGGTATTTGTAGTACAAGACAATCGTTATGCCAACAAGATAAAGTATAAGAGATGCATAAGTAAACAGTGATAGTTCAGGTTAACAGAGGTTGGTCAATGCAGGTAGCCTTTATAGCATATTCAGTCATCAGAATTGGAACTAGGGCGTCTACCTATTAGATGTGAGTTGTAGAGACGAACGAGTGTACGTGGTGGTAGCCATCGCGGGGGACACTAAGTGTTTTTATCATTTAAATGTTACTAAATCGCATCACTCCTATGTGTGGAATAATTTTATAGTCTAATACAGCAAATTGTTATATTTAAATATTGATACTTAAAGATACCTATTTTTTTTCAACAGAAACAAACGAATTAGTGACATATAATTTTTAATGGAGACTTTTGGTTGATTAATTATAGCAAAATAGAAGGCTAAACTATAGTTAAAAAACCAACAAAGTAAATATAATCAATTATATCCTGAACCCAGTTTCTGATGCAAATAGCTGAGTAATGCAACTTCACGAGATTTAACATATCAAATGTATCACCCAGTTAATAAACATATTGAAAGATGCATTGCATAGTAGAGTCTGCACACGCCATAATCTTATAGATAAATACAAATGTTTGTTCATCCACTTCATACTATAAACACGTTTCCACCATCACGATTCTGGAAAATAATTTCAGAGTTTAATTCTGCTTCAAATTACGGCTCATTTTTGTACGTGCTGTGCTCCAGAGCTTGGTACCAGGATTGTGATACTGGAAGCGTTATTCACTAAATTGAGAAAGGTCAGGAATTTAAAGGGAATTACAAATGTAAGGCCAAAGAAGCAGAACCGAGAGCATAGCTGACTGAGAATGTGTCCAGTTTGGCTACTTTGGCCGTACATTTGAAATTCCCTTTGAATTTGTGGCAATTCACTTTCTAGTGAATAACCTTGTAAGGATACTTTCCTGTACAGAGTTGTGATCCTTCACAGTTTATAGGAGCTATTATCCTCACTAAACTCTGAAATGAAGCAAATTAAAGTCTAAATGTCGAAATACAAGCAAAACTAGGCATTGTTCATATATTATTGCTGTTTGAGTATTTTTCCAGATAAACTGTTTGTCTATATTTTGCCATTTGAATTATCAAAATTTCAGAGTTTAGTAAATATAAAACCATGTGACAACTACTCATTTATACAAACCCCTATTAACCACCGTTGTGTGTTTGCTAAAAAAATTGTGCATCCGTGTGTTGTGTCTATCTGCATCATTTAAGGTGTGTGTCTGTTTTGTTGACTTGTTCACAGCGATAAACATTGGTTCCACAAAGAAAAAAAAAATAGTTTCTTGTTTTGTCCATGTGGCGTTTTGGTTCTGCCTTGTATTGCAAAATCTGCAGAGAATGTAAATATTATGTCTATATTTTGCAGTAGGTGCATTTGTGCGCCATTTGATTCACACAGCAAGTGAAAAAAATTACCCAGCAGAGGGGGAAAAAGGAAAAGCATTAATAAATGTTTTTAAAAATCTATACATTTATAAATACATCAATATAGTTATTTTTTACTGCTCCTCATTTTGTGAATAAAATCAACATTTAGTGGCTTTCCCCGAACCATAAATCATCATTCATTTTATTTTTGGCGCCCGGATGGAACTGTGAACCACGAAACAAATGTTCATCCATTGTCCGATTCGTGGTTCGTCTTGCCATTACAGCGCTGATATATTCGCATTTACTTTTTAAAAAACCATTTCCACTCATGCTCGCACACTTGTTTGTGTTTTTACATTTATATATAGCATAGACTAACCGCGGTTCGAGTGCGGCCACCACCATGGGTTGTTTATATATAGCAATCTCAGTTTTCACTGCACTGTGAGAGTCATTTTCTAATAATTGGGTCAGCAGAACATGCCTGCGGCCACAATAGTGACCGCAGGAACAGGTCCTCTGAGAACCTTTGATATGGTTTTTAACTGTGATTTTATTAAAGGGACACTATAGTCACCTGAACAACTCTAGCTTAATGAAGCAGTTTTGGTGTATAGAACATGCCCCTGCAGCCTCACTGCTCAATCCTCTGCCATTTAAGAGTTAAATCCCTTTGTTTATGAACCCTAGTCACACCTCCCTGCATGTGACTTGCACAGCCTTCCATAAACACTTCCTGTAAAGAGAGCCCTATTTAGGCTTTCTTTATTGCAAGTTCTGTTTAATTAAGATTTTCTTATCCCCTGCTATGTTAATAGCTTGCAGGACCCTGCAAGAGCCTCCTGTATGTGATTAAAATTCAATTTAGAGATTGAGATACAATTATTTAAGGTAAATTACATCTGTTTGAAAGTGAAATCAGTTTTTTTTTCCATGCAGGCTCTGTCAATCATAGCCAGGGGAGGTGTGGCTAGGGCTGCATAAACAGAAACAAAGTGATTTTACTCCTAAATAACAGTGAATTGAGCAGTGAAATAGCAGGGGAATGATCTATACACTAAAACTGCTTTATTTAGCTAAAGTAATTTAGGTGACTATAGTGTTCCTTTAATTTGTTCTAGGGCAGTGTTAGTGAGCCCTCGAAGCTGAATGTAAGTTTATTCTACATGAGTTACAATGTGTTGGTCTCTTGTAGCCAAACTACAGTCTTTTGACCTGGTGATTGCTGTCAAGGATATTAGCAAATAAAGATATGAATAAAGAGGTCTATTTAATAACAGGGTTAATCACTAAATTGTGAATTGTCAGGAATTCAAAATATATTCCAAATTTTGGGCCACAAACTAACCAACATGAATTTTTCCATTTCAGCTATACTGGTCTAAAATATGAAATTTACTTGTAATCCCCGCAGTTCACACTATAGTGAATAACCCTATCCATTGTTCAACCAGTTTGCAAAATATGTAGATTTGAAATGCGGTGTTACCGATATTGCCAGTAAACCTGAAACATATCTCACTCATGGGGAAACTGGGCACAAGAAAGTGGAGACGGAAGTTATAAACTGTGGCCAGTGCTACGAAAGAGGAATGGACTGAGGAGTGTATAGTCTACCCTCTCTGTTACAAATAAATTGCAATAAAGGGTTCGTGACTCATCGAGACCAGCCGGTGGAGATACTGATTGACCGCTCTCGGAGATGGCAGACCAACAGCCTCGATGGCTTTGTTACGGGGCCACTCTAAGCACCGTTGGCACCAAAACCACTACAGCACACTATGAAAATCACTTGGACGCTGTATAAAGTCCTAGGAATGGGTTTTCACAATACAAGTGGGTGCTTAGTGTATTTGAGAACGGATCGCCAAGCTTTTTTCATCTATGTAATTTAAATCAGTCAAATAAGAATATAGGCATTTATAGGGGATAACATTCAGTAAAATCTTTCTATACTTTAGGAAAAAAACTTTATGAAATCACCAGTGAATAGACAACAGCAAGGCCTTACGGACCAGAGTGATAAGGGTTAGTTAGCAAACTCTGGGAATTCATGGTATAAAGGCAGTAATGACAACTGCCATATAATGGTTGACCCCTTTAGCTATACGTTTATTTAACATCAAAAACAAATTGTGAAAACCAAATGCTGTATGCGGTGGGTCATACCAACTGAATTTTAAACACATGCTGTCCTACATAGCAAACCAGGCTACAATATATGGCTAAACATAGCTCTGAGCTGTACCACAGGGAGGGGGGAGAACAATATATTCGCTATTTTCATGTCTGTAGAGAGGTCTGACCCAGATGAGAGCTTGCGGAATCGGCTAGTGCTACATAAATGATAACAATACTGGTCAGGCCACAGACGGCTGTCTATAATAAATTTACTGTAGTGATGTGGTCGACCCCAGAGTAATAGATGTACACCCAATGGTGAGTGTATGTCTGAGCGATATTGCAATAACTGTTTCACATGGGAATGTAATGGTTTCATTTTATACACAATACTGATATATGAAATTTACTTTTTTTCTTATTCTATTTAGTCCATGGGTAGGCAACCTTCGGCACTCCAGATGTTGTGTACTACATCTTTCACAATGCTCTTACAGTCATAATGCTGGCAAGGCATCGTGGGAGGTTTAGTCCAAAACCTTTCTAGTGCAAAATGTTGCCTATCCCTGATCTTGACCCTGTCTTTGTGTATTCCTTGCAGAATAGAATCTTCAATCTAGAGGGTGTATTTTATTCCCATCAAATCATTCTTTGTATTTTCAAAACCGACAACACAGAACAATAAACCTAAACTCAGCATGCTATAATACAGGATGGGGTTATGTAGGTTATACACACTGGGAGGTCAGTATTGACTGTTTAAAGGGGCACGCCAGGCACCCAGACCACTTCTGCCCATTGGAGTGGTCTGGGTGCCAACTCCCACTACTCTTAACTCTGCAAGTGTAATTATTGGAGATTTTTTATAAACTGCAATAATTACCTTGCAGGGTTAACTCCACCACTAGAGGGCACTTCCTGGTTTCTAGCACAGGAAACCTGTGCTAGAGCGTCGCTGGACGTCCTCACCCTGTGTGAGGACCTCCAGCATTGCTCATTTTCCCATAGGAAAGCATTGAAATGCATTTTCAATGCTTTCATATGGGGATCGCTAATGTGCATGTGCAGCATTGCTGCGCATGCGCATCAGGTCTCCCCAGCCAGTGGGCGGGATCAGTCTCGCCCACCGGCCGACGCAATCAGAGGGAGGAGAAAGAAGCAGCGACGAGGGACATTGTCGCTGCCTCAGGTAAGTTACCGAAGGGGTTTTTACCCCTTCAACAACCAGGGATTGGGGGGTGGGAGGGAGAGGGGATCTGCAGTCCCAGGAAAAGGATTGTTTTCCTGGCACTGGAGTTTGCCTTTAACTCTGGTGCAAAGTTCTGAAAGTGGAGCTGTTGCTGTGGAAACCACTGCTATGTTCTTTCTAACTGCAGTATCAGTGAAGCTGGTAATGTTTTAACCAGAATTGGATCTAGTCCATCGGTTTATGACGGGTTATAAATTTATACGGAATAAAAAAATGTCAGAGGAGATGGTAACCTTGTAACAGACATAAGTAAAATAAGAAAAAAACATGGAGGCTTCCTCCATTGAAGGAAAAGACACTTATGTCTCCATCCTTGTCTCTATTTAATAGCGATTATCTGAGCCACTACAACGCAACCTTGTACAAAGTGAACCCTTCCAGTGCCACTAGAGTGACTCTCCGTGCAACACTAAAACGCACAGAAAAACATTAATTAACTTTTTTTAAATGTAAAACAATAACTGGGGTCCCCACCACTTATCCTTTGCCTGACAAGTGTAGTAAGGTCCACTTGTTGGGTGCCTTCCTAGTATATTTTGATAAATGTATTTTCTTTCATAATATTGATAGAGAAAGCCGATTGGCTCTGTATGTGTGAGATGATTGTCTCTCTGTTGTGTGAATGGAATGAGAGGTTGTAGTTTATAACTTATGTGTGTGTGTTTGTACCACGCAAATTCAGGTTTTGGGGGTTAGCGGCAGCCGGTAAAAAGCGAGACGGTTGGAATCCAGGTGATAATAAGCTTAACAGCTCCCATTATAATCTATAAGAGCTGATACTGTATCAACAGCCAGTAAAGGTGATATTCACTAGTCGGGAAACAACTGCTACTCACTAACCGTAGTGACTGGCACTTTATTGAGTAGTATAGTATTTATTAAACTGGTCCTCAGTCTGTAAGGTAGCAAAGAATCCAAACTTTATTCGACTTTTTAAAAATTGCCGTAATAACATGCGTGTGGAAGCTCAGGACAGAAACTTGAACTGCTTAATTCATTTCATTCTTCTCACAGCACTGCATCAAAGACATACAGTATGTAAATCTTGCAACCTGAGGCCCAGGGCCAGCCAAACAGGGCCGTCTTTACCGCGGGGCAAACGGGGCAGCTGCCCCGGGCCCAGTTACTCTTGGGGGCCCGAAGCAGCTGCACCGTGGGCCCCTCTGACCTCAAGCATTTTTCCCAACTGCCGGTGCAGCCACGCACCCGGTGGGCTTCTGTCAGCAGGGGCCCGGTCTTGCGCTCTGGTGCTTTAAGAGCGCGACCAGGCCCTCTTGCTTTTCGGCAGCCGGCTAGGAGGAAGTGACGGCTGCACGTCACTTCCTCCCATAGAGAGAGGAGCGCGCGGGAGGACGAAGAGGCAGAGCGGTGAGGGTCTGGGCCGAGCTAGCCAGACCCCAACTCCCAGCAGCTTCAGCCACTGGTAGGAAAGTCACCCTCCAACGTAGAAAGGGTGGGTTTAATAGTGTACATTTTGCATGTGTATCTGTGAATGTGTCAGTATGTCTGTCAGTGTGTGTCAGTATGTCTGTCAGTGTGTGTGTCAGTATGTCTGTCAGTGCGTGTGTCAGTATGTCTGTCAGTGCGTGTGTCAGTATGTCTGTCAGTGTGTGTGTGTCAGTATGTCTGTCAGTATATGTGTGTGTGTGTCAGCATGTCTGTTAGTGTATGTGTCTCTGTGTGTCCATATGTATGTCAGTGTGTGCATGTCTGTATGTCGGTGTGTGCATGTCTGTATCAGTTTGACTCTTTGTGTCTGTATGTCGGTGTGTGTGTTGGTGAATGTGTCAGCATGTCTGTCAGTGTGTCAGTATGTCTGTGTGTGTCTCAGTATATATCTGTCTGTCTATGTGTCAGTATGTCTGTCAGTTTATGTGTCGGTGTAAGTATGTCTATCAGTGTATGTTTGTGTGTCAGTTTGTCTGTATATCTGTGTGTGTATCTATATGTTGTCATTTTTTGTATCTGTGTGTTTGTCAGTGTGTATATATGTGTGTGTATCTGTATGAGGTCTGTGTGTGTGTGTATCTGCAAGTGTGTCAGGTGTGTATATGTGTGTCTGTGTAACTGCATGTGTGTCAGTGTTTGTATCTTTGTGTATGTCAGGATGTGTATCGGTGTGTCTGTATGTGTGTCAGTGTGTATCTGTATGTTGTATTTGTGTGTTTCAGTGTATCTGTATGTTATGGTATTAGTATGTGTGTCAGGGTGTGTATTTGTGTGTCAGGTTGTGTGCATATCTACCTGTGTGTTTGTGTGTGTATATGTGCATACATCTCAACATTCACACGCTAACACTACACACAAATACACCCCTGCATTCAAGCTTCAGCACAACATACAAATACACGTCTGTGTTAAACACCAACATTATAGGTATACACAACGCTGCATTCAAAAACCAACACTACACATAAATACATGCTTACATTCAAACGCCAATGCCACATACAAACATATTCCATACAAAAACCTGTTTACATTGAAACACACAAAAACAGCTTAGTGCTAAATACAAACCTGCAAATATGGATAAATGGTAGAGCCCCAGCTGTCAAGGCATTGCTGGAGTTGCACAACAGATGGGGATCTACCTTTTAAACATCCTTGCAATAGGGAGGCCCAAAAAAAATATTCTTGCACCTCTCTACTTTAGGTAGCCACTGCGTTAAGGGTGATAACGTGTTTGCACGCCTGGGGAGGGTGTACATGGTCCAGGGGGCCCAAGCAAATGTTTTGCCCAGGGTCCAATCAATATTAAAGACGGCCCTGCAGCCAAACACATGTTATGACCAATTTTATCTAGGGAAACAAATTGGAATCATCAAATTGCTTTAATATACCTGAAAAGAAGATTAGATTGTAAACACAATGCAGGAAGGAGAGCAGCAGGAGGTGCTGGTAAGAAAAGTGTTAAGACAAATGGTGACTTAAAAAATAAATAAAATCAATCAGGGTTAACCAAAAAGCAGCTCTTAAGCTGTAAAACATGCAGGCTGAGCATCAAATGAGTTAAACTTCTTTAACCCCTTAAGGACACAAGGGGTTAAATAAGGGCTGGGTACCACGTGGCTGATACTGACCTAAGGAGCATCCAGTTAGTGTGGTGATATTATAGTGTCATTGTCTCTCTAATAATCCATCACCCACTATAACTGGAATGTGATCAGTTGTGCTCTAGACATCTTGAATTGCATTTATCCAGAGAACAGATTAATTTAGATTCTGTGTCTTTTTTTACAAAAGCTGTGAATGCAGAGGACAGGCTGGTGGTTGAGCAGTCTGCAGACATCAGAACCAACGCTGGAATGTCAGTGACCATCAACTGCACCTTTAAGACACAAGGTTCCTCTTTCTCCGTGAGATGGTATTTGGGCTGTGATAATGGCACACCTTTTGATAATTCACCTTGTTACCAAAACCGAACGAGCTTCCAAAACCTCAACCGACAGCTGATCCTATCCAACGTGACAGAGAGTGACTCAGGAACATACTGCTGTCATGTGGAATTGGCCAATGGGAAGACGGGAAATGGAACTGGAACTAGGCTGGAAGTGTCACCAGTACAATGTGATTCAGGTATTCCCGAGCTCATTAAAAAACATGTAATACCATTGTGTGTTAAGTGATATTATTTAACTCCTGAAAAACCAAGGGTCACTCATCAAATCACTTTAGTTGCAGCAAGAAAATCTATTTTACACAACTTTATTTCAGCAGATTCTACACTTCAGCAGATTTTACACTTTTAGAGTGGATTGGTTTGAGGGACTCTCACACAGAGATAGCGAATAGTAACACAATCTGACAATCTCAAATGAAAGGACAGAGGGCAATTGAATATGCCAACTGATTCATTCATAGGATGTTCAACTATCATTTTAATATAGAAAAAGAAGGTCCAGGAACTCCAATGCTTATTGGGCGCTCGTTTATTGGGCGCTGATAGTTGAGCGCTGAACTTTCCTCAAGCCGATGTTTGGCCCTGTCCTGTCCCGTCTCCTTACTGATTTCAGCCAATCCAATGCTTTCCCTGTGAGAAAGCATTGGATTGTCTGAAATCATAAATTCTGATGATGTCAGCAAGGAGGTGGATGGAGGGCAGGGCCAAAGCCGGTGGACACACGCGGTGCTGCAAATAAGATACATTTTATTACCTATTAAGGAGAAGAGGGGTAAAGCCACCTAAATGGCGGTTTTAACACTATAGGGTCAGGAATACATGTTGTGTTCCTTTAAAAATCAGACCTCAGACAGTCCTCTTTATCACAGATCACATTCATAATTGGTCCTGTTAACATTTTAAAGTGATTTCTGCCAATAATTCAGACACTTCCTACTAATTATAATAAAAAACTTACTGATTTTAAGTTTCCTTGCAATTGAAACATCACATTAACAGAAATTAAATTATTTGAATAATTGAAAAATTAAAAGGGTTATTCCCTAAATTGAGAATTTTCAGGAATTTAAAGTGAACTTTAAAGGAACTGTCACGGTTCACTCCTTAGTTGATATGTCTTCGTGCTATACCCATACTCACCACTCTCACTGTTTGGCACTGTTCCTCATTTCTTTTCACTTTAGCACTTCAGCTGGTCCTTGTTAAGCACCTTTATAGTTTGGTTTCCTGGTTAATGTGATTCTGACTCTGCACGCTTCCATCCTGTACCCTGCATCCCTTGGTCCTGTATCCAGCATTTCTTGGTCCTGTGTTCCCGTGTCTGCTGGTCATGTGTTCCCGTGTCTGCTGGTCATGTGTTCCCGTGTCTGCTGGTCATGTGTTCCCGTGCCCGCCTTGTCCTGTGTTCCCATGTCCTCTGGTCCTGTGTTCTTCTGGTCGTGTGTTCCTGCGTGCTTTGGTTCTGTGTTCCTGTCCTCTGATCTCATCCAGTGACTCTGACCCAGCATCCTTTGTTCATATATCCTGCTTCTGGCCTTGTTTCCTGGTGTCATTGTATCTGTCTTGTGGCTCTGGACCTGTGTCCTGCCGATTGCTCATGGTGGCTGCACGATCCTGCCCAAGCGTATTCCTTATACCAAAGGACTGTTCTGTATACTCTGCCTGCACTATTCGTGCTAATCCTAGTTTATTGTATATATTTGTTTTTTGGCATTGTATATTGTTTTTGTTATCCTTTGTCCTTTGGTTTTCATGATAATATATCTATATTTACTCAATTCATTGTGTCTTGGCATTTACTCTCTGCAAATTGGGTTCCCACACTTAATGGGATATTGCTGTTCCAGGACAGCAACCCTTCCTGTCCTGACAGGAACACTATAGCGTCAGGAACACAAACATGTATTCCTGACCCTATAGTGTTTAATCCACTATTTAGCTGGCTTGCCTCCCTTACTCCCTCTTAGATATTTTGAAACATACTTTATTTCCAGTGCCGCACGGGTTCACCAACGCTGGCCCCACCCCCGATCTGTCCCTCTTCTTGACATCATTAGAACTGCTGATTGGCTGAAATCGGCAAGGGGTGGGCAGGGCCAAGCGTCGTTTTGGTCAATCAGCACCTTCTCATAGATACATTGAATTAGTGCATCTCTATGAGGAAAATTCAGTGTCTTCATGCAGAGCGCGGAGACGCTGAATGCTAGTGCTGCCTACTGTGCAGCACTGCCACAGGAAGTACCTCCAGTGGCCATCTGAGGAGTGGCCACTTGGAGGTGTCCCTAGGGGGCAATGTAAACAGTGCATTTTCTTTGAAAAGACAGTGTTTGACTTAAAATGCCTGAAGGGAATGATTATACTCACCAGAACAAATACATTAACTTTTAGACTAAACTAGTTGAACTGGAAGCATAGCATAAAGAATAGAGAATTTTTCCAATTCAGCAATTTTGGCCTTAAATCTGAAATACACCTTACATTCACTTTGAATTCCAGGCAATTCTCACATTAGTAAAGAACTAAAATTAATTGCACATATGATAAACACAAAATGCAGATATTTATGTGAATAAAACCTCTTCCCATGTCTGTGCATTACATTAGGATATTAATTTGCATCTCCTCAATTTCAGTGAATAAATCTTCGAATAGCTCCATACTATACAGCGTTATCGGATTCGAAGCTTGTGTCATCATTATCCTGCTGGCAGCGCTAATTAAAATCCGTTCCCGGGGTAAGTCTGCTATGACGTCTAGCCTTTTATAAATATTTCTGAGTGTTAGGTGGTTGTCTAAGAGACAGTCACTAGAGGCAGTCTTAATCCTGCAAAGTAATGATTGCAATTTCTCACAAACTGCAGTGTTTTACATTGCAGAACTAAGGGAGACAGGGACGCTGCACCCAGACTACTGCAATGAGATGAAGTGGGCTGGGTGCCTTTAGTGTCCCTTTAAATTAGAAATTAACTTTGAATTCACTTTAAATACTCACTTTAGTGAGTCACTCTGATAATAACCACATTTAAAAGAAAATGTCAACCTCGCTTGTCAATTTTCCAAAATTTAACAAGTAACAGCCAGATATAAATGTAGAGAAGTGTATGCCTCCCATCACCTCAAGCCAGCCTGAGGATTATGACTTTTGGTTTATTGCTTGTTCTTATAAACTGAAATGTGTGCTGGATCCTATCTATGACGGTAATAATAATCTTGGAGCAATATGTCAATGACACAGTAAATTATGTTTTATTACTGCTGGGGAATTGTGGACTGTATAAAGTACTGCGTGTTTCATTGTATTGAAAACGAGATATTAAATGGTTTATATCTACCTGTACATATTAGATACAATGTCAGATATCTAGGGTTTCCAAATCAGGGTTTAACAAGTTCTTGCTAATTTCCCATATTTGTGGTCAAAGTTTAAGCGTACTGGCTCTATGAATGATCACTGTGCATATAGACAATGGCGAAATATATGCACAAAACAAACAAAACTGGCCAAGGCCCAATATTTCTGTGAAAATCTGAACAGTAACATCTCAAACCCTAGAAACTTTTGGAAAGTCATAAATAAACTACAAACTCCCCCAATCCACTCCCAACTCTCCACTGTCAAAGTGGGTAACCAAACCCTGCAACTTCCCTTAGATGTAGCAAATGCCTTTAACAATTATTTTGTCGGATGCTCTACTGCCCTGATTGCCAAGCTAATAAATGACACGCATCCTGAAACTACAAATGTGGATCAGGCCCCACTAAATTTGCAAAGGCCCAATATAGACAAGTTCAATTTTAGACCTGTACCTGTTAGTGTCATTAAAAAACATCTTAAAAATCTAAAAATGAAAAACCAGTCCGGACCTGATCAAATCCCAGCAATGCTGTTGAAGCTCAGTGCGCCGGCAATTGCTAAACCCGTCTCAACCCTAATTAACGAATCCTTGGTGTCTGGATACATACCCAAACTTTGGAAGACTGCGAGAGTAGTGCCTATCCATAAAAGTGGTGACACTACTTTGGTTTCTAACTATCGCCCAATATCATTGCTCCCTGTATTGTCAAAAATCTTAGAAAAATGTGTCCATACGCAACTTTGTGAGTACTACCAACAATTAAACTATCTGACCCCTGATCAATCGGGCTTTCGCCAGAATCACTCCACTACAACTGCCCTCCTAAAAGTTTGCAATGACATCCAAACTGGCATGGAACAAGGAGCCCTAACTGGAGCTATTTTCCTTGATTTTGCTAAGGCCTTTGACACAGTAGACCACGACATTCTACTGCACAAACTAGAAAACTCAGGTATTGGTGATCATTCTCTAAACTGGTTTCGATCGTATGTATCGGATCGCTCGCAATATGTGTCCATTTCTGACAGTGACTCCCTCCCTCTCCCAGTCACGTGTGGTGTTCCCCAGGGTTCCATTCTCGGCCCCCTACTATTTACATTATTTATAAATGATCTGCCTAATGTCTGCCAATCCTCAAATGTACACATGTACGCAGATGACACGGTAATCTATGCGAGCAAATCCAATCTACCGCAACTTGAGGCTTTGCTCCAAGACCAGTTTACAGAGGTAGAAAAGTGGATCGCAAAAAACAAACTCTTCCTGAACACTGACAAAACTGTCACAATGATCTTTGGAACAGTACCTAAATTACACAAATTACACAATTCCCACCTATCCATCAAAACAAATTCAAATGGCACACTGACCGCAGTCCACTCTTTCAAATACTTTGGTATGATATTAGACCCCAATCTATCTTTTGGCCTGCACATAGAAAAGCTTGCATCTAAACTTTATCCAAAATTAGGTGCCCTGTACAGAAACAAAGCCTGCCTAAGCCCTACAGTAAAGGAAAAGATTGTACAGCAAATGCTGATGCCAATCATTGATTATGGGGATGTAGTATATGCATCTGCATCGCAATCCCACATTAATAAACTCAACACATTGTATAACTCGTTCTGCCGATTTGTGCTACAATGTAATTACAGGACCCATCATTGTGACATGCTAAAGGAACTAAACTGGCTATCGCTGGAATCCAGACGCACCCTTCATCTTTCCAGCCTTGTTTTTAAGAGCTTTTCTGGGAAACTCCCACCCTACCTGAACAAAATGCTTTCCCCAGCTGTTCCCACTTTCTATAAGCTCCGATCCAGTACAAGCACTTTACTTAGTCTACCTCAATACAAAAAGAAAGCGGCCCGTTCCTCCTTCTCCTACAGAGCACCGCAATTGTGGAATGACCTCCCGCACAATTTAAAATCTTCCCCAAGCCTAAAGTCTTTTAAGAGATCCCTCTCTACATACCTCAAAACAGAATGCACGTGTCATGGTTGATTATATATTTCCTGCCTGTTCTATGTTAAATTTTGTATATATTGTGTATTAATATTGTTTTTGTATTTTGTTGTACCTAATGTAACAATGCAATGATTTGTGGACCCAGGACATACTTAAAAACGAGAGAAATCTCAATGTATCTTTCCTGGTAAAATATTTTATAAATAAATAATATATGAAAAGTGCTCCCTATTAGTATATAGCATTCAAATGCTGTCTGAGGGCAATACTAATGCACTAATCACTCCTCAATTAATTGATTTTCTTCCTGCACTATGTGATTTATCCATATTGCAGGGCAGAGTTTTTTTACGTGCTGAAAGCAGCGTGAGAAATAAATGTTTCCATGAAAATTTGATGGATCTGCCAACCCTATAGGTAGAACTACAGAAAATGGGATGGGCTAGCTCCAAATTCAATCTATTAAAGGGACATTATAGGCAGCCAGACCACTTCAACTCATTGAAGTGTTCTGGGTGCAGTGCCCTTATTGCACTTAGTGCTGTCATGTAAAACATTGCAATTCCAGAGAATTTGGCTTCCGGGCTGTTACCGGATATTTGGTCCGGTAATTGGCGCTGGATGTCCTCACGCTCTGCATGAGGATGGGATTCTGTAAGTAAATAAAGGGTGTTTAACCCTTCATCCTTTATTCACCGGGGTGGGGGCGCGAGGGTGGGGGGAGTAAGATGGAGCAATAGTGCCAGGAAAGCACTATAGTATCCCTTTAACTCAAGGAATGCTTCATGGTAAATGTTTTAGTGCAATACTATTGACAAGCAAAATGAAATGTGATGCAGCAATTTGGGCTTCTTAGGATCTGTAAATGATTGCAGGTCTTGTATCCATCCATCCCTGATTATACAATACACATACATGGGGGTTAAATGGCTCCACCCTTTGTGAACACTACGTGTAGGTGATCTGGGTTTACACCACTCTAAGGACCAACCAACCAACAGGCCAGAATTTCTGTCTTAGCATAGGTGAGTTAATCAGATCAGCATTGAGTCATGGTGTATATCGATCACCTTACATTTCAAACTGTTCCATATGTGTAAAATAGAAAGGATATGTCACATCCTGTTCCTAGCTGCGGATCATTCTGGCAATGGCTTCTGGTATCCAGTACTCTTTTTCCAATTCTTGTTTAGTTTTTCTGGTTCTCTATTCCATATTTGGTTTTCTTTATGCTGGGATTTCTGGGTTCATTCCTGTATTCCGTTCCTGGAATTCCAAGTCTCTTGGATTCCTTTAAATGTTTGTTTTATGTTGCCACACCCGTTCCTTTTCCATGATTCCTTTTGTTTAAGTTGGTCCCTGCAGGCAGTTGCTCAAGTTCTCTGCCCTTTCTTGCAGGTAAGTGCTGTGTGTGTTTTATTATGGTTTATTTAGCAGACATTAGGCAGTGTAGGACCTGCCAGATATGGGGTACATTGGCGTTGTGGTAGGCTTATGCAATGTATGATCATATAATGTGACTAAATCCCCATAGTTTTTCTCATATAGTGCTTAGTTATGTCTCCCCTTGTTTTGCCTATTATATCTTGTCTTGTTTTATTTTGTATTCCCAGTCTATGTACAGTCCGGTCCTGTCCTGCCCATGTTATGTTAATGTTTCCCTTATGTATTGTGTACATGTTCTGGGTTTAGCTTCCTATCCTTCTCTGGTTCTGGTTCTACTAGTTCTGTCTTGTTTTCATGTTTGGTGAATATCCTAGCCTTGCCTTGTTTCTGTACTGGATACACTCCTGCTGCAGAGCCTCCCTATTCAGCTCCTGGGAGGTCTGCTTAATTCCTGCTCCTAGCTTTTGGGATCTGCAGTACCTGCATCAGGGTTCTGGTATGTGGCCGCACAAACGCTGGTGCTCAACACCAGGGGGTGTGCCGTTACCCTGCACCAGACCCTGCTAATCCACTTCCACACTGTGACTACTACTTCAACATCAGGCATACTGGGTCCCGGTTGTTCCGACCGCTGCTCAGACAGTGTCTGGGTCGCGGTCAGCGGCCCGCCACCCCGACAGGCTAGTTGTCTAATATAAGTAAAGTGAAATATGTCACAGTGAGTTATATTAAACTATGCAGACTCCTCTGTCTGGTTAATGACAGCTTGATTAACCGTAAGGTTTCTTTTATAGGTCCGACTGACTCCAAGAACAAGGTGAGTAGACTCATTATTTCAGTATGATCTTAATAACAAAGACCATCTCATTAGAAGGGTTTGGATAACTAAAGTGGAGAGGCTGTCTCTTTACACAGTAAGCCTTCTTCCCAATAAAGTGTTGCCTGTCGACTCCAGTGCGTGACTGCTTTCTAAAGAGTGAGACTGCTTTCTAAAGAGTGAGACTGGTGTCTAAGGAAGACTGAGATTCAGTAAGTGACGTTGCTTTCTAGTGTAATAAATTATTATTCCCAGTTAGTGACTCTACTTGAATTTTGATTGGCTGAATTGAACGAGATTGCAAGCTTTTAAGATCATATAAATATAATCTGCAGGAATATTACCTTATACAGCCAAAATAACGTAAAAACTACATATTCATCGTGTTTCTTGAAAGAACTGGAAAACATGCGTTTGGTGTAAGAGATAAGAAGTAACAAGTTAGAAAAATTACCGTGCAGGCAGCATTATGGAGAAAGCATTTTTACAACGAATGAATAACAATTTAATTGTATTACCTTAGTTATACCTTCGGAGAACAAGCGAATGCACTATTATTTGTTTGTTCTCTTTTTCTCTAAACAATGTTATTATCATGCATTCGTGGTAACTATGTATATTTCTATATTTTCTTGTACATACTGCACAATAAGGTTGTTTTAAAAATCACTGGTTATAGTGCTAGATTTTTTTTTTTTCCTGTCTCAGTTTATCAGATTTTCTGTTTAAGCTGTAATGTATAGTTGGGGAATTTTTCAAAATTCGCAGTTTTAGCCTAAATTTTGCAAATCTGTTTTAAATTCACTACAATTCAATCTTTATGTCAGGATTACTGTTTGATCCAGCACGTAGAACTGTATAGCACGGATGACAAATAAGTAACGTATTACCGGTCCTTAGAATGGTCGGATTTAACGTACAAAGAATAGTCAAAAATACTAGCCGAGGTCAGGGAACACAGAAAGGGACACAGCGATGAGGAAAGCCAGGAGTCAGGATACCAGAATATAGAGAAGTCAATAAACAAAGCCAAAGTCAAAAACCAGGTAGAAAACTATAAACAGGAACGCGCTCTCGGACAACCACAAGGGAAACCACGACAGGGCACTGAGCAGGCTGAGAACTGGGCCTAAATACCCCTCCTTTCTTTCTGATAGGCTGTAACCGGCCTTTGACCCCAAAGTCAGTTACCAGGTTTCATTTGTATAATTGCTGCTCAGCATTAACCCTTCTGTGGATTAGGTTGCTGCTCGGCACAACTTTTCCTGTGTGGACAGTAAATGTCATTAACCACTTTTCTATAAGCGGATGAATACATGAGACCAGGTTTCATTTGCACAATTACTGCTCAGCATTAAACCTTCTGTGGATTAGGTTGCTGCTCGGCACAACTTTTCCTGTGTGGACAGTAAATGTCATTAACCACATTTCTATAAGCGGATGAATACGTGACACTTTATCCCTCAAAAGGCAAGTTTACAGCGTTTCCCCTCAGACAGGCCCACAGGCAGGTGTGATTAATCAGTATTTGTTTCTACATTTTACAGAGCAATTACAAACTCGACCGTACGATATTCCTAATCAATTGTTGCAGCAACGTGTTCCTTCGCTGACTGATTACTCTCTTTCAGGTCACAGAGGATCCGTATCAGAGCGTTGGGCAAGGCGTTCACTATGCCGAGATCTGCAAGCAAAGTACGTCTCAGCGTGCCAAGGCCAGAAACATCGAGGAGAACATAATGTATGCATCTGTCAAACCTGGGAAATAAAAAGTCCCAAATGGCACTCTATCACTGGAGAAATATACCCTTGTCAAATGGGTATAAAGGACCTGAAGATGGAAGGAGATGTGTGACAATACACACAGAAGGATTCTTGGCTAGATTATAGGTTTAACGCATATCTTCATTATAAAGCTTAATTAAAGTGACACTATAGTCACCAAAAGAACTTTTGCTTAATTAAGCAGTTTGGGTGTCTAGATCAGTCCCCTGCAGTCTAACTGTTCAAATATCTGCCATTTAGGAGTTAAATCACTTTAACTGTTTTTGCAGCCCTTGCACACCTCTTTGCATATGACTTTCCTAAACACTTCCTGTAAATTGAGAGCTAATGTTTATACTTCCTTTATTGTACATTCTGTTTAATTTGGAATTTCTTATCTCTTGCACCGTTAATAGCTTGCTAGACCTGGCAGGAGTCTCCTGTGTGTGATTAAAGTTTAATTTACAGAGCAGGAGATAGTTTAGAAGTTTCTAAGTTAACATCTGATTCAAAATGAAACCAATTTTTCCATGCAGGTTGTGTGAGTCTCAGCCAGGGGAGGTGTGGCTACATATTGTCTGCATGGACAGAAACAAAAGTGACTTAACTCCTACTGTCACATCAAAAAATATTATTTTCTTTTTTAATATAGGTCCTAAATAAGGGAAACACAATTCACAGGAAAATTAGAAGAATGGAAAATTTTCGTGGTATAATCAGGATAGCAATGAGGTACAATGTGTCATATACTTAGTGACTGTTATCATACAACACTATACATGCCACACTATAATTCCTTCCTTGGTTTCATTCTCATTTTCTATACAAAGCAGATCCATGGTAGTCACATAATTTAAAAGAACACTCCAAGCACCATCACCACTAAAGTGCTCTAAGATTTCTATGGTGCCAAGAGTGTCCTGAGTTAGTAGTTTGCAAATGGATTGACATCTTACCTGGGGTTTGCCCGGCACCAGCCACCTCCCTCCTCCTCCACCACTTCCTCTGCTCATTGGTAGGAACCAGCTCGAATAATGCTCTCAATAGTAAGGCTCTCCTCAGAGCTAACTCACGGTAGTTAACCTTGTTAAATGTTAATCTGAAAATATTTCTAAATTGTAGCCAATTAGGTTAATTTACATAAAACATTTTTGTGAAACACAGAAAAATATCCAAACAATGAATCTAAACTAATAGTGTTACAAAACCGAGTAATGCCTGTGTAAATAATAAAAACAGAAGCTATAAAAAAAAAAAAACACAATATAGGGGGTGCAGGCATTCTCATTATTATAGCCCCACAGTTACTCTGAGAATGGAAAGTCATTTTACACTCTTACATGTCCCACGCAAACTTCATTAAAGACACAGATTGAGAATGAAATGATGCAGACAATTTGATGAGCAAAATACAAAATAAGTCAAATATATAACTTACTGTATTTGAAAGAGCTTGACCTATTTTGTATTACTGGGATCATGGGACTACTCTAGAGTATTTTTGGCTTTATCTGAATATACGCTGACATTTTTGTTGTTTACGTGTGAATATAACTGTACACATACGGTGAAATTTCCTTTAATGTTTGTATGCAGTTTACCTCTATAAATAAAATAAGATATTTTTACTCCATTATTCTTATTCTTCCTTTTTTTTTTTCTTACACTTTTTTGTGACAGTTCATGCCGTTATCACTCAGTCATCTGATTAGACATGTGCCTTCTCTGCTATAAGCTAAATGGGTAACAGTCACAACCCCCAATGCATGATTTTATATTTATTTGGCCCCAATGTATTACACGTTTGTCTCTGTGTGGTCTAACAAATACAATTTAAATGTATAAAATCCTCACTGCTCTATCCTGGAACAGAGTACCTCAATCTTAGCCCACTGTCAATCGGTGTTATAGGCTCTGTGCGTTACACTCGTTAGATCAGAGAGATCACACAAAGAAGATGAGAAATTAAACAAAGTTTCTGTTTCTTCTTCTCCAATGCAACATGTGCCCTAACTAGCCAGGACTGTGAAGGAAACTGCTAAATAATTAATATACATAAAAAAATAAATAAATAACATTTAAAAAACATAGCGTCACATGCAAAAAAGGTTTACACAAGTCAAAGCCGCTTAGCTGTAACACATCAACATATTTCTCAAATAATTTAAGATCTAAGCTAGTTTTTGTTTAGCGAATTAATGAAAACAGAGCTTATTTTTATATTTCACTTTTCAATGGGGAAATTAAACTGCTTTATTTTAAGGTAAGAGTTTAAAGATTGTATTTGAAAGCAGCCCATGATAAAGTGGTTACAAAGTACCTGACCACATTTCCGTGATGTCACTGCTCGGGGCTGATTGGATACAGTAAGGGGGTCAGGACACTGCGAGGCTGCCCGTTCATTTATTGTTTTTTAAACACTTAACAATTCATGTTGGAAAATGGAGATGGCTTTGTTATTTAAGCTTCTTTTTATTCAGCACATCATGTCGTGGCGCTGGTCAGGTAAGATTTGGAAACTGGGTGAATGATACCTTGTGTAATACTAAATGGTCACTTATTACAGCAGCAAAGAAACTGACAATTACAGCGAGGATAGATAATTTAATCCCCAATCATTTATCCAGTGTAAGAGCAGTAACACAATGACGGTGGCATGTTTAAATGGGTTAAAGGTACAGTCTCATGGAGGAGCGAAGTGACCTAATGGCACTAGCATATTCTAATGCTTTAAAGAGACTGTCCCATGGAGGAGCAATGTGACCTAATGACAGC